CTTTCATTACCCCAGAGAACTCTGATGACGGCCACATCCCACAGCAAGCCTGTTAAAACGGATGCGGATGATGGGAGAGACGTCTGAAAACACATCCGATCGCAGCGCTTTTACTGGTGCTAACTTATTTCTAATTAAACAGATGATGGAACAAGACTAGGAATAAAAACATCATTTTACACACTAAAAAAATTCAACCCAATGTATCTCACATAAATGCTTTGAGTGTATGTTTGAAATGTCTTTTTAATGATTGAATTTCTGAAGTGTAAATAATCCTGTAATGAATCCATCGATGCATCTGTGGGTTTGATTATCTGTTAGTAAACTGATTCACAGAAAAAACATCTCTGCTCTTTATAGAAGAACAAATCTGTTCACTTAAAACCAAATTCTCTCTCTCTCTTTGTCAACCCTTGCTCTGGCATATGCTATGAAGGGCAGATTAAGGAGAGAGAGAAAGAAAAACACACAAAAAAAGGATTTTGGTTCAAATGGGTGTGGAATTACAACTCAGCAAGTTTCCAGAGAAACAAAAAAAATCCCCTCAGGGCTGACTGGTGAATCTCAGTCATTTCGCAGGCTGTTAAAGTGCACTTAGTTTGAAACTAAATATGCATTATTTAGTCTACTTTTTCAAACATTGGATGATAAAACAATTGAAATTGCCCCCTCTAGAAAAAGAAAAAACGATCCTAACTTTAAATATTTGTATATTTTTAATCCGTCATTTAGCTTAAGTGTAATTAATCCATTATTAAAATAATAATTTAGTAATAAAAAATAACTGCCGTATGTTATCATATGAAAAAAAAAAAAACGTAATTGCACAGGAGGGGTTCTGCAAAAAAACACATAGAATCTTGGTGGTGAAGATTCTCAGTCATCCAGCTTATAGTCATTAGGGGTGGAACGGTTCACAAAATCCACGGTTCGGTTCGGTTCAGGGTTTCCTGGTCACGGTTTTCGGTTCGGTTCGGTATATGTTGATTGTTACACCGAAATCCAATAAAGGTTTATTAAATTAATGAAAAAATCCCAAAAAATTAATGAATTGTAATTATTTTTAATGATCCGCGGAAACCATGGATCATTTCCGCATGTTTTGCTGTTTTGAATTTATTCATCTGGGGCATGCCCTCTACCATCTCCAAGGGACTCAGAGCGGAGCGGACGGGAGCCACAGTGGAGGCTGTAGGCTTTGCTTTGAGCAGCCGGTCTGGAGCGCAGCGGGGCGGAGCGCTGACGGAGTATGTGGGATTTCAGGGTTAGCATGACATGTTGGTCATGTTGCTGTTAGCATAAACAAAACGTGTTGCACAATGCTTGCACACTTTTATCCACAACTTTCTTTCCGCCGCCATCGTAGGTCACTCTAAATGCAAAGTGGTCCCATACAGCAGACGCCCCAGCAGAGTGCTGCTGGCGCGTCTTCCAACTCCTGTTCTTTCCCACTCGCCATACCCACACAATTCTCCACAACAGCTGATTTTTTTCTGCTACAACCGGCTACGCTGCTTCGCTTCTTCTTTTTCTTGTTTACTACTGGTGGTTGGCTTTGGTCGCAGTACCGCCACCTTCTGCTCTGGAGTGTAAACGCTTCGCCTATGAGAAAAAGGAGCAGCGCATGAACCGAACGCAACACACGCAAACCGAACCGAGACAGTCGAACGGAACGGTTTGGTCGCTTTTCATAAACCGTTCCATCCCTAATAGTCATTCCAAAAAAGTTAAAAAGCAATCCACTGGACTTGTTTTTCCAAGTTCGAAGACGTTTTGCTTCCCATCCAGGAAGCTTATTTTATTCAAAATGTCTGAAATTAGTGTTGAGTTCCAAGCTTTATAGAGTGGACCAACAAAGCCTTGTTTTGGCTTAGAAAACATGCAAATGGAACCAGAAGAACAAGTCCATCCGTTGAGGTCTTTGTTAGCCTGCAATACCCGATACTGGCCTATTCCTCTGAATAGGGAGTCGTTAGGGTAATTGTTGTCCTGGCTGACCAGGTGAGATTTTTGAGAGAGTGAGCTCTGATAATTATTTCTGCAATAAAGCATTTTTTTTTTATTAACTATGACTAAAAAGTTTATAAATACCGAAATTAACTTAAAATGTTAAAACTTGCTGACGAAAAATATTCAATTGTTTATTCTGGTTCTTGCAGTTTTTACCACAAACCTTAAAAACTCTTTCTATTCACTTCCGGCCGCTACGAACGGCAGCAGGAAATCCCCCACATGCTGGCCGCAGCAGAGAGCTTTCAGCGGGGATTCCCAGCACTGCCTCCCGGCGATACGCTGGAGGTCTGCCGTTCCCAGCAAGAACTGTATATTTTAGTGGGATCATAATCCTGATGAACAGATCATGTTTGGAGGTGGACTTTCTCACTTAAAAAAGTGTTAAAACTATTTTTCCAATTCACAAAATAAATAAAACCAAGCTGCTCTCTAGCTTGAAGCTACAGAACAGAGCCGACAAACAACCGAAGCAGCAAAGCAGCTCGATCACGCCCAGATTTCTGCGTCAGTGCGTTTGGGACGCTCACAAGGCCTTTGGTGTGAACGCAGCAGGAGTAGTAGAGATGTTCTTCTTCGTCTAAATCTAAATGTTCATGGTTTTTGTTATTTCTTTTCATAACTTAATTATATAAACTTAACAGAACCTCAGTGGAACATTACTTTGTTTTATTCAACATATTTTTCCAGAATACGGTGAGATCAATGCACTGATACCATATTTGGTGTTCTTCCACATAGACAAAATAGTACCATTGACTAATGTATTGTTTCATCACATACATAACAGTTTTAAACTAATTAATTCTGTTTTTTTCATGCATTCAGGAGCATTGGGGCAGACTAAACCTTCAGCAAATCCCACACAGTAACATAAAGATTTTTTTTGACATCTTTTATTGATCGTAGTGTTGGAGTCATTTGCATATCTCAAGAGACAAACATGGATTGATTTTTAAACTATCGATAAATCCCAGCATGGCGTACACTCTGCCCGAAATCTTTTAAGATCATCTATTTGAAAAAGAATTTCCCACGGCATCCATTTCTCTGCCAGCCATGCTTCTGTAGTGCTATCTGTTGCAGACGACAGTTAAAATGTCACCGGGAGAAAAGCCTTTTAAAAGGATCGCGATCCGTCCCTGTGGCTGATCCCTCTGTGGAGAGTATTTGTGCCTCCTCCATGGATCATTGCTGCTAAACCTCCCAGCTTCAACCCAGACAAAGTTTAAACACTCATATGTGTCACAAGCATCTCTTGAGCCTTCTGCCACGCCTCACCTCTCACAACATATGGCACAAGCACCGACGGTGACTGCTATGAGGATCAACAACTAAACCACAGATTAAATCTGAAAGGTTTCCGGTCTCATTTCTTAACTTCCATAAATATAGTCCCTCTGCACACAGACTGAGCATTATAAAAACAAAAGTGTTTTTTTGTAAATGTCTGTCAGCTCAACACAGTTGCTGTCTAATCATTTGATTGAAGCAGTTTAATTTTTTCTGCAATCGGGACAGTTATTAATATGTAGGCTTTAATTTTGAGTGAAGGATTAAAGGAAAAATCCGCTCATATTCAGAATTGAAACTTCTGAAAGTTCTTTAAATATGAAATTATGACATAATGTTCAATAAATTATATATATTTTAAATTCAGAGTAATTTTCATGTGAATGAGCTTTACTGGAGGCATCCATGTTTGTCAAAGAACACTACTGCCACCTACTGGTTAGTGACGTCACGGTGCGGTATCGGCTGTTGATCAAGTCCCAGTGCTGTATCTGGTGTTTGTCACAACGCGCTATTATCCAAGTCATCTTGAAAACATTCTTCCAAATGTTGGCTACATATTACGGGTTTTTTCTCTGGCCAGAAGTTCAATGGCAAATCCTCCCTCTTCAAGTTGGCGATCCAACGACCAACCCGTCATTAATGGAAAAGGTGAAATAATTGATTAACTAATTTTTTTTTTTCACTTTTACCCGATGTATTCCAGCATCCAGCTGCTATGCACGTGGGTTAAATTTTCTTTAACGGAGAGTCTCCAGACTGATCTGCAAGTGAAACCTTGAAAGCTCGTGAGATCAGGATGGTCTCACGAGGCTAAGGCCCCGTCCACACGAAGACGAACCCTGGCCTAAACGCACAAAATTTTCACCAAACCAGCCTCTCATCCACACGAAGCCGGCGTTTCGGGGGTCTGTAAACGATCTTTTTTTTATTCAGCCTTCAGAGTGGGAAGATTCTGAAAAGCCGTTTTCGCGTTTCCATCTTTACGCTCTAACCGCATATTTTTTTTTTACACGCATGCGTCATAGCGTCGCCTCTAAACACGCATGCGCGACACAGTATCACAACAACAATGGCGCCGTTGCTGCTAATGCTACTCACCCTGCTGTCGGGCTTACAACAGAATCTTCTTCTTCTGGAATATCTCCAGGAAGAACAGAGCAATATTGACCACATAGTTCAGCACCTGAATTTGACTTAACCACGAAAATGGACCCGCAGGGCAACCATGGATAAATATTAGTGCGCATGCCCAGCATTTCGTCGCTTATTTTTGCTTTGGCACCACAGCGCCACTTACAGGCCTGGCATACATTTTGCAGCGTTTTCATGCATTCGTGTGGACGCTTACATTTATTTTACGTCTCCGTCTTTACGGCAAACGTTTTGGAAAATATCAGCGTTTCGTGTTCGTTTTGACTTCGTGTGGACGGGGCCTAATATCACCCAGCCCTACTTTGCAACTACAATGTTGGGGTTAGAACTGCGTTGTTTTGTGTTATTTTGTTATTACGTCAGAGCTGTAATAAGTAGGTAATAATTTATCCTGCTACACGATTGAACTGTTTTTTCAACATTGTCTCACAACCTAAAATAGTTTCAAAGGCTACCACATCCAGCTTTAGTGTTTTGTTTTGTGACTTGTGCTTGTACATCGTTTTTTTGCGTGCCCCTTAAACTTTGCCCCAGCTGACCTTGTATGGTAGGACCACCGCAGACCCTCCACTGATGCCCACAATTGGAACGGCAGTCTGGGTAGAGATGAAGTCAAGAATTTGTGCCACTGCCTCAGAACCAACGTTGTCCTCGAACACCACACCATGGACCCGGTTAGTGGATAAGGTGTCACAGATTCGGGTGAGCAGCGCCCGTGGGTTGGTGTTGTTGACCAGCACAGTGATGGGGTTCACCTCCAGGGGCAGATCCATGAAGTTCTCGCGACTCAAACGGCCCTTGATCTCCGTCTGGTAGGCCGAGCCGCTAAATACCACTGCTACGTTCACGGACGGCACGGGAAACCCGAATGGCCGACCCGCACAGGAGGGGATTGTGCAGAAGAGCAGCAGCAACAGCGGCAGCGGTGGCGGCCACCATAGGGAGTCACTCCAACAGCCCAGACGAAGGCCCATCTCCATCACCTACTGCCTGCAGACAGGAAAGAAGTGAGAGAAAGAGAAGAAGTTTAGAACTTTACATCAATGTCAAAGAGACTCCCCTGTTTATCAAAGGACAATTATAACGTTTATCTTGATCATTGCTCTAGCAGGAAAGTTGACTAAAGCATCAATTAACGAGGCCTAGAGCGATGCTTTAAGGCGACATAAATACAGGAGGGAGCTCTGGCCAGGCTGTGGCGTCTCAGGCCGGCAGCTGCCACCCTGCTGTTGTTGTATTCAGCCTGCCAGCCCAACAGATGGTGTCCAGTGTTTAATGCAACAAATGGAGAACAAGAGGATTTGGATTTTCTTCTCTCGTGACATTATTTTTAATGCTGTTACCTCATTTTGTCTGCAGTCTTCTTTTGCATGCTGTTCTCTCTCCTGACTAAGATTTTGTTAGCTTTTCTGTTTCACTTTCTCTGCTTTTTCATGATCAGTTTCAACTTTAGGAATGATATACGGAACTATTTAAATGCTATTGGAAAAGTTTGCAGTGTTTGTGGGGTTGGTGTTGTTGCCAGGCAGCAGTTTGTGTTGAGCTTTCAGACGGGGCTGAGCTCTCTGCCAAATCCGTCACAGTAACGTTTGTGGCTCTTAGGGAGAACTCCTCAATGGTTCCCTGTCACAGGACTCTGATCCACCATGAGATGGAATCCCATTGGGGCGAATATATTGTAATCCCTGGGTAATCCCTGACAGGCGTGATGCCTTGCAGCTTGATTGTAGTTTAGAAACTTTTGTTTAATTCTGCTCCATGTCTGAGGCGGTGTTTTTTCCTCAATCCAGTTATCTCACATCCTAAAATACAATTACGCAAATGAGGGCAGGGGCTGGGGAGACAGGGTGTTCTACTATTGATGACACAAATTTGTATACACTGTACAAAATTTTGACTAGTTGTGGTTGGTGCACCTGTTTCCCCTCTAATGTACAAAATGTGACAAACAATAAAAAATTGATCACAAAAAAAAAAATTACGCAAAAAAAAAATCCGGAAAGGCCATGGAGGGAATTTTGTTCCATCACTGTTGCAATGGAAGAGCACAAGAAAAGCAATTCAGAAATGAAACACAAAAATAATTAAAAAAATCTTCATCAAATAAGCTTTTAAGGGGAACCTTATTTTTTTTTAGGTTTTATTGCATTCTGAAAAACTCACATTGAAAGAAAAGACAATTAGAATAAATTAGTCTTTGGCGCTCAGACCTCGACAGGAAACATAGCGCTTAATTTGGATAAATATGCATGAACAGGAGTAAAGAACAGGGTTGTTCCCCCCCCAGGCCTGAAACTGGTGGTGGAGTGGAGATAGATGAAGGTGGTCAGTCTGTAGACTGCTGGTTAGTGAGACGGTCTGCTGAGCTTTATGGGGAGATCCAGTGGACTGAGCTGATACTAGAGCTTCACTCAGGCACCTGGAAGATGGAAGTCCAGTTTGGATAACACAGGATGAGTGAACCTGTCCATTATGACCTAGCATAAAGCGACAGTGGAGAGGAAAAACTCTCCATTGGGAAGAAACCTCTGGCAAAACCAGGCTCAACATGCCGGACCAGCTGAAATGAGACGCAGAACGCAGTAAGAGTCCAGGAGGAATGAAACTGATGAAGTTTTAGCTACGATGGTGGAGGAGGGGATGGAGGGGGGTTGAAGCGTGGTCATCTGAATGAAGTTGCAGATCGGAGGCCTTTTAAGATCAACTTTGGATGCTGATTGGCTTTCGTGGCGGCATGGTTCAAAGCTAATTGGCGGTCGTAGGCAGATGAAGGCGAGTGCTCAGTTTATTCAGTTGAACTTGCGCCTGGGCTCCATTAAAGCAATTCTTTTAGATATTTTAAATTTTTTTTAACAGATTTAATATTGTAAAGTTTCATTTTTCCAGATACAATTTTACAAATTGCATTGATTTAAATTTAACACATTTTCTGCTTCTGGGGGCAGCCTTTCCTCCGGAGTGAGGAACAAAAACATATTCCTTGAAGAGTGTTTCTGTTAATGGAGAATTGAAGAGGACCTGATCTGCGAAATGCAATTTGAAAAGAGGGAATTCCTGAAACTCAACCTGAATGAAAAAAAAAATGTATAAAATTAAATAAAAAAAAAAGGAATTTGTAATAAAAAAATGAAAAATTGTGAACACAGCAGTTACTCTCAAAGCAGTTTTTTTTTTAAAGAACTTTTTAAAAGTTTTATTTCCGGATTGCATCTTTAAAAATGTAAAAAATATTTTTAACATTTCAACAAAAATTAAAAGTAGCCTTGTCTTGTGATTATAATGGGGGGAAAAAACACCACAAACAATGCTGCAACAGGTATCTACTGGGTTCCACTCCCTATGCAGACCTTCGCTATTAATATTTTGACTAGGGTCTGGACTTCAATGCATTCATTTCAATTAATTAATTAATTAGAATCAATATTAAAACATTTAACAAATGTATGCAATTAAATGCATTTTCTTATATACATACTAAAATCCCAAGCGGGAACCTTTGTAGTCGCTGTTTCTTGTACACCTGTAAATCTGACAGCATCACAGGTGTTGGTCCACAGACTAAGAATTATCATGGCTTGAACCGATTACAAGTTCTACAGCGAGGTGTACTTACTGAATTACTGTAATCGGCATGGACATCTAATCTGCTGTGGTACGGAAACTGTGATCACCATAACAAGAACTATATATCTGAACTAGGGGTGTAGATCACATCCATCGTGGCAATTCGATCCAGTATCGATTTCCTGACCCAACGATTCGATTATTTTCGATACTCAAGAATACACCACGATACGATTCGATTAATAGATAAATTTTTATTTTTTAGACCTTACAGGCTAAACAAAGTTTCAAGTTTGAAATAAATCAATGAAAGCTGTAATATCGTCATGAATTTTTTTTTAGAATCAACAGCAAATAACTAGGGTGACCATATTTTCATTTGGGAAAACCAGGACACCTTGGAGCGTGGGGGGGGGTTGATTGAAAGAACAAATGTCTCATCATCGGGAATTGGAAGTTCAGTTTAATATAATACAACTCTGTGAATAGTTCCGTCTGAAATGAATGAAAATAGTTGTTTTAATGGTTATTGAGTCAGATATGTGGCGGTAATGTTTGATTTAGCTAAAGGTTTTAATCTGTTACTGTATAAATGAGTTTGGCTGTAATTTAAGGACAGATTCTAATAGATCTGCAGAGTGGGAACTATAAATCTGATAGGAGTTAAATTTTTTTTATTGTTGTTTTGCACAATATGCTTAACTAAGTATTTTTTGTTGTTGAATATTAGAGATTTTGCAGATATATTTTTATACATACATTGTTTAGATTTACTTATATATTTCTAACCCTTTTATAGAATAGAATTGAAAATCCCTTTATTGTCCCACAATGGGCAAATTTACAGCAGCAGAAAGATTACTGAAAATGGTCACACAAATGAGGACCTTAGAAAAATGTATAAGAATAACATAATAGGGAAGAGTTAAAATATAAACAATAAAATACTGTAAAGTGTTTTAACAATATAAAACTGGAGAATAAATAACCAATATGCTGCTATGGACATTTTTACAATAATGGATATTTGAAAATAGCAGCAACATCAGAGTTGTGCAGAATGACAGCAGCAGGTTATTTAACTGACTAAGGTTTCTATCATTACATTTGATTTTATTTGTTCCTGCTCCCGGTGGTTGGAACATTTATTCCACTCTGGATTCTTGTGAGTGTAGTCTTTGTTCACTTTAACTTTTAAAAAAATATATAAACAAACAAACAGTTTTAAAAACCTCGGTATTGATTCTTTCCCTGCTTTGTGTGTCAACTTTCACGGTTGCTAAGTAACAGAGCATACAACGGTAAAACCCGCTGAAGGGTGGACCTGTTCAAATTTACAGCCAAAACTCTTCCGGCCTCCTTATTTTCAAGGACTTCGAAGGATCCAGTCTAGGTAGACCGCGTCCTTGGAGGATGCAGGCCAGGTTTTCTAACAGAGCCTCTGATTAAGAACAGGGCTGCCCGCACTGACGCGGCTCAGGGATTACGTCACACGGAGCGTCGTGCGCAGTGAAATCAGGACATTTCCTCACTTTCTAAAAAAAACCCGGGACGCCCCGGACAGGACGTGAAATACGGATATGTCCCGGGAAATACGGACGTTTGGTCACCCTAAAATAACAGAAGTAGAAAAGTTGCATCAAAAAATACTGCAGAAAATCAGTGCAATGAGTGCAATTCAATTAGGGATGCATGATATTGGGATTTTGGCCGATATGCCGATTTTTTAAAACTCATGTAGCCGATAACCGATATAGATACCGATGTTAAAGCTGGACAAAAATAAGTAGTCATTGAAAATAGCAGTTTTGTTATCCATTTCTGACACTTTGAAAAATAATATACTCAAATATATTTTCATATGCTGATATCAAATAGATTTTTAAAAACGCGGTATCGATCTATTTTACTTTCAAAATCTCGTGAAATTTCATCGTTCTGTTACAAACTCTCGTGATATTTTGCAAATTCTTGTGAGATTTTGTTAGTAAAATAGATCGATACCGCGTCAATATATCAACATATAAAAATATGGCAACATTTCGTGGATTTTCGGGGGATTTCGTAGCATAACGATGACATATAGCAATATTTCATTAGTAAAAGAGTTTGATATGGTGTTTTTAAATAGCAAGATATCAGCATATGAAGATATTGTGATATTTTAATGTATCAATATTTTTTCCCTCGTCTTTAGAAGTTTTTAAGTCTGCAAAATAGAACTTTTTGAGGAAGAAGAAGAAGAAGCAGTATATTTTTTTTTAGACTTTAGAAACTCAGAAGCTGATCAAATATCGGGTTAAATATCGGTGGGGTGGCCGATGTCCGATATTCAGTTTTAAGGCCGATACCGATAGGGGGCCGATTATATCTTGCATCCCTAAATTCAATACCTCGGCTCCAGACGCCCCCCCCTCCAGACGCTC